CCCCAAAACCCCAAAACCCCAAAACCCCAAAACCCCTAAAGTCAATAAGCCATTTATAAAATGTCTGCGATTATGCCCAAAAGACATTCAGTTCTAAGGAATGTCTCAGAAGGAAGAATGGTAGCGAATTAGAAGGTTCTCTAACTCCTTCAAATGCCTAGTAAATATCTATGCTCTTTCTGATGATTCTAAAAAGTCGGTTTATGACAAGATTTCATAAACCGACTTTAATCTGGTGGTGACTTTGCGTTTATAATACTCAAGCTCAAATTATTATTAAAATAATTAGAAATTGTCCAAGATTGTATCATTTTCAAAGAATCATGTGTTGTTAGCCTTCTTCTTTTTAAATTTAGAGGCTTCTTTCTTTCTCCTCTTGCTAAAGAACCTTGAATCAGGCCTCTTCCGGAGTTGACTATCAGGACTATAAATCCCTCGATGAATATTTGCGTTTGGGCTGAAATGAGTGAAATTTAGGTTTGTCTGGTTCAGCTTTTCAGTTAATTTCAGAGGTGAAAGGAATCCGTTATATCTTGATACAGGAGAAAAATTCTTTCCTAAAATTCATCAGCATTTCATTAGAATAATGCTTACTTTTTGCCGAATTAGTGTCTGAGTTCTTTAATTTAATGGGATTTCTGCTCATTATCAGTTTATTTTATATCTAGCTTAGCTCTAAAACCAAACAATGAGCAAGTATTCTTCCAAAAATAAATTTCAACTGAATATCACAAGACCAGATGTCTAATATTACTAAAAGTCAGTAAACTCTTAGTAAAATAGTTTGAGAGTGAAGGGACACCTCAAAGGCAAAATATTTTGTGGCTTACTTATCCTTCATCAACTTCTGTAAGATTCTCATATGTCTATGAATATGACTTTGGCTGTCTTACCTTTCATCTTTAACGAACTTGCTACCTTTCATCTTAGAAATCCTTCTTAATTCAGTTGCTTGTTCAAACAACTTCTTCTTCATCCTGATATTTCTGATGCATTGTACTGGGGATAATGACTTAATCTTAATATCTACAGATCAGACAAAACTCCTACAATCTTCTTCAATGTTGGATTTCCCCACCCTTCCTGATACTTTATTGTTCTCATTCGGGATATACTCTATATAAATTGGTTTTTCTCTATTATTTTAGTAATACGTGCAAGATAGGAGTACTTATTAGTCTTTAACAATGAGTAAAAGTCGTAGGGGTATTCAAAGAGACATGGGAGACATCATTGCTCCAAATAATTTCATGAGCCCTGTTTGGCCCTAATAGAAATATTTGTGCAAAAAGTGTGATAAAATAATCAACGAATTACCTATTTTATATTAAATTCACTACTAAAGTTATTGAAAGGATTTTTATGTGTTAGGTATCTAAATGAAGCTCTCTTTCAGTTGTTGTGTTGGCAAGACAATATTTGAATAAACAAAATTAGGTTTATCTAAAATGTCTCAAGGTAGTTGTAGTAATCGAGATTAAATAGTGTTTTGTGAAAATAGCATACATTTGTCCTTATTTTGCCCTGAAGAAAATATATTGAAATTATTAATAAAGCTTTAGCTACTATAATTAATCGCTATAGCCTCTCTATCAGTTAGAAGCTTCCCTGATGAACAAAATCTATTAATAAAATTATTCTCAAAGCACTCTAAGCCGACTTACGGAATATAGAGGTGAACTTGATTGGTTTTTTCTCCATTTCAAAATTGTTATTATTTTATGATTTCTATCAAACTTTAATTTATAGGGGTTTTGGGGTTTTGGGGTTTTGGGGTTTTGGGG